TTTTCCTCTATTTGAAGAACTCATTCCAAGCCTTTTATTTCTCCTTCGTCTGCCAACTTCAGTCATTTTTGTCTAAGCATTTAATCTAAATGATGAAATATTTGAAAAAAATCAGGAAAAAATGTGTTTAACCAGTTTGAATGATAGTGTCTAGGGAAGAGAATGTCTTCCTATTCATATCTATTTATGAAAAGGACTTTCTCTGAATGCTTTTCTCTCTCTTTCTTTCCATAGACCTGATGTAGAACGAACTCTCAGTCTAAAATAAGCACCAAGGAGGGCTAAGAGCGGAATGTGAAAGATATGAATAGGGATTACTTAGAAAAGAGACTACAGGATATTATTCACACTGCCGTCACTGAAAACACAAACATTTCTCATTACCCTTTTTTATTCAGACATGGAGAAAGAGCAACCCTGAAACACATTGGATGCCCAATGCCAGGGACAGGAATCCAAAACAGAGGTACACTGAGAGGTAATGTCAGTGAAGGGCTTGGACAGAGCCTCTGACAAATCAGTCTCCAATATTGATCCATTTGGCAGGATGCTGCACAGGGGAACAAGCCTTCGCAACAGAATAAAAGGACAGAAATTCTGCAAGAGATCATATGACATATCCTCCTCAAAATTTCAGCCTATAGATTTAACTTGAAAAGGCAATCACCCGGGCCTATACTAAAAGGAAATAGAGCAACCAATTTACTGACTTTTCAGAAACATATCAATGACAAAAAGACAACCTAGATGGTCCCCAACACTCAAGAAAATCAACTATATTTATCATTTCCATTTGCCTTTAAATATTTAGTCGTCTTTTACTGAGTTAAAATTAGAGTCAAATAGTTGCAGTAGGTTTTTTTTAATCTTTGTGAAAAAAATCATATTGGAGCATTCCCTTATTTAGTCCTGACTTACATATGACACATCTCTTGTAAAGCTTCCCTCCAGTTAAGAAACCATAGCTAAAAATTAGACTTCGAAAGAGCTAAAAAAAAAGTTTCACAGAAGAAAATAAAATCTGAAATACAAAACGGAATGATGAAGTCTGAAAAACAGACATGGAAAAAGAAAATGTGGTTCCTTGTTCAGCCACTCTCTCTAAAGAACTATCCTCAGTTGTAGAGAGATGCTGTAACAATTCTTGTGGACATTTTGGGATTTGACCTTCAGCGTCGATTGAAAAATTTTATTCTGGCCATATTTGAAAAATCAGAAATGCTTATTAAAAATTTAATTGAAAAATGACAAGATGGACATGTGTGTAGTGATAAAGTAGCTGTGTATGATCATCTCTACAGAGAAACATTCATGTTCTTGACTCTAGAGTGAAAAACTAGAAGCTTTCCAGTAAGAAACTAGGAAAAATCGTTGTGTACAAACAAATAGGGAAAAACAAAGATGTAAGCACAGTCACCAAAACTCCCCAAAGACAATGAAAGGCTAAGGCTGAAAGTTGAAAGACAAAACTTTCAGAAGGGTTGTTAGTTTCAATATTCAAGCAAAACTGATTCAGGTCCTGCCACCTGAATTGTTATCCTACAAATCATATTCCAACCAAAATCATCCTTCACCTCAGAATTTTCAAATATTACAGATTTTAATATATTTATAAATGTTTTAATTAGCCTCTTAAATCACAAATTTTGATCATAATTTTCTAACTCTTTAGAAAATTCAGAGATGTTTTGTTTTTCAATTGTTCTGTTCAATTTTTATTTTGTTTGTTTTTCTAAACAATGCAGCTTTCCTTCTCTCCAGCTAATGTCAAAATACATTTGTGTCACTGATCTGGTTGGCAGCCTATAAGGCATAGCATCATAACACTGAACTTAAACATTTCAGAAAAATAACAGCTCAAAAAGACAGAATAGTGAAAGTAAAATCTGTTTAATCCCATGTTCTGGTTTGCCTTCCTTGATTCTCATTAGTTTGCAAAATGAAGCTGAAAATTCCTGTTTAATATTGGCATTTCCTTTGACATGGAATACTGTAGTTGACATACAAGAGCATTTTTATAACACAGTTAATATGGGTGCACCCATTTTTTAGTCACAGCAGTCCATTTGAGGCACTGTTTGCAACAGAGTTCTGGCCAAGAGTCAAAAGTTTTGGTAGCTGACTATTTTAGGTAGAAAAGAGAGTAGCATCTTTTTAACTTAGTCAAAATGTTAATCCACAATAAGAATTAAAAGTTTTTTACTCTTAACATATCTGCAGAAAAAACTCAGCTTCAGCTTTTAGCTCCTAAATTTTTTAATGACAACTTCAGTTAGCCTGAAATCAGTCAAAGATCAAATTTCTCTGGACTTAATTTTTTTTTTTTTTTGCAAAATTATGATACTGGATAAATACAAGGAATATGAATAAAAACCTACATTCTATCAATCACACTGAGTCATGTGATACCATGTTATCAGTAAAAGGAACTACTATACTTATTGACGAAAAGAGGAACCTCACAAATTGCTATCAAATCAACAATAACAGTTAGGATGGCATTTTATCAACTTTGTGAATCAACACTGTTATGCGGCAACAGTGTCCTCAGTCCTGATCCACCCGTCATTTTCAGTGTGCCACCTCCCTGTTCCATACTATAAACAGATGTTAATCATCTCCAATGGCAGTTAATCCCCTTCCCATTTTCAACAGGCTTTTCTCCTAAGCACTGTTGTTCTTCACAAGACACTAACAAAGGGGAAAAAAAACCTAACTGGCAAACATACAATGCAAAGGGATGCAGTCATACATCTGCTGACTTTCTTTTCTATGAAAAATCTCAGGGAAAGGAATCCTACTGACAGCAATGACTACAAGGGTTTTGGGTAACAGCAGTGTCCAGCCTGAACAGCTGATGTGACTGAGGGCATCACCACTCACACTGTGAAAGCACAGGACCTCAGAGGCTGGGATTCAACTTTCCAGAAAAGGTCTGAGATTCAGTTTGGGATCCTCTGGAGATTCAGGAGGACATGGGCAAGAGTCAAACTTATTCTTCCAATTAAGCTTTCTAAGGAAAATGAGAATATTCCAGAGCTTTCAACATTTACAGAAGAAAATATGAGTAAACCCTTTGTATAGTAGTTTAGATTATCAATTCACTAATGCAATACCTAAATGAAAGAGTAAATGTCATGGTAAAAATTCTAATGTCACCTTCATGTTTGACAGAATATGTGATATTTTGGAAGCTATTATTTCAAAACTCACATGTTGAAATTTTCTAATTGACTGCTCATATGTTTCAAAATGATTTTATAATTATCAACTGAACAAGCTAAATTAACCCTGAAACTTGTAGCAATAAGTATTAAACTGCTCTTACTTGCCTACCTACTTATCTGCAAAGAGACCTACCCATTACAGTAACAGCTGCCATTCTGAGGCACTGCACTCTGTTTCAATCAACACCTCTGCGCAGTGTCGTTAGAGCTGCAGCATCAAACGACCTCACCCCTTACTATGCAGTCATATCTGTCTGTGCAAAGGTACTCCCAGAGTTCTCCACACATTTACACACTGGTGTCAAAAGTGTCTCAGGAGATAGGGATTAGGCTCAGAGAGCTTTTCACTAAATTCGCATTTAAGCACAGAGAGCTTGCACAGCCTTGGGTAAGTCTCCTTGTGCTTCTGTACCACATCTTTAAAATTAGGTTAATATCATCTCCCCATTTCCCAGGAATACTCTAAGTTTTAACACTGTGAATTCATGAGGTACTAGACCAATATAGTCAAAATGTTCATATCACCTTTGTATACAGCCATGGATACTTGTTTTTTATAATTAGTAACAAAATTAGAACCATTTCACAAACTTAATTTCAGTAGGAAAATACACCTCAAGAGAATCAGTAACATATACAATTACAAAAAGAAAATGTCTATTTTTCCTGTGAAACGAGTTTTCACGTGAAGCCTCAGTAATTTATTCATCACAGTCGAAACAAAGCTTGAAAACTGAAATTATCACGCACAAAAACCCAACACAATAAACCAGAGTATATTGTCCAAAACTATGACTACCTGTTAGTCAGTGAGCAAATAACTTTTAAAATGCACACTGTACCATGAAGTATTTAGTTTCATTGCAACCTAGCTTGTAACATCAAGATGTTTCCTGTTTTCTATGATGCATACCCTGAAAGTTTTCATGGAAAAAGCAAATATTGCGTGTTTTTTAAAAATACTCATTTTTTAATACCTATAGATACACATAGTTAGTATTTTATATGTTCAAAACACTTTAAAAAATAATTTCATGCAGGAAATAATTTCTTGCAGGAATGGCAAGGGCAGTTAAAGTAACTTCCAGGTTGTCCTTCCCTTCTTTACTTTTAAAGATGTTATATTCAAGAAGATCTTTCTCCCTGGTGTGATACATTCTCTCTAATCTGTATATGACAGTGTAATCTGTATATGACAGTGAGCCTACAAAGGACCACTTGCCTCAGAGTTTTTCCATTGCTGTTTTCATGAAAAACTGTAATCCAGGGCAATATTCTGAGAGTTTCTTTCTTTCTAATGTCAGTAATTTCCTTTAAATGGTTACTAAATAGTGCAAATTATGAAGGACAGATCTGTAGAACATCACAATTGTGCTTCCAAGCCATGTCTTTCAATAAGTTTATTTCAGGCTGACTCCAGTCAGGTCCCTCAGACTGTTGCCAACACTAAGTGTGCTCCTACAGTGCACCTTTCACTCTACTTTCATCCAAGAGGAGTCCAGTTCACCCACCTCAAGACTGCTCCAGAATATGAAACCAAGTATAGTCAGTAGGGACGAACAGAAGATTCACTGGTCCAAACACTGTACTTATCAGGTAAGGTCTATAAACCAATTTTCCTCCTTAGAACTACCGGGATTTGGCACCTCCTGACTTCAGTGAGATTCTCAGCAATTTGTCCACAATAAGTAAAAGCAGAACAAAAGTTTAAAGGAAGTTAATATAACACATCTTACACCATTTACCATATACGCAAAAGATTCAGAAACTCACCATATCAGTATCTGAAACAGGTCCAAAACTGGTCACATAGATGTTAGTGAAGACTTCAGTAATACTATCTGATACAAAAAGAAAAAAACAAGCAAACATTTTAAATTTATAGTATTTCTTCAAACTCTCTATGCAAAATTATGGGACACTTTGAATAAGTTTCTGTCCTTATTTACTTCTCCTAAGCAGTATCCTGTTGTAAATACTGAGGCTTTCTACCGCACTTAACACAGAGGTAATCAGATGAGAGTTCGTCCCACTGAGCAGTTTGTTTCAGTTAAAGGACTATACAACCATCAGTAACCACACACATATTTCCCATTTCTCCACCAGCAAAAATAACCACACTGTCTTGGACTTAACACAGTAGAACAGTTCTAAGCATTAAATGCCTTTATTGCAGGGGTGTTATTTCTGTTGTTGCAGATCATTCCTATTAAAGTCTTTCTAATTCAAGGCTATTTTCTTCATCCTGAATAGCTTTTTCAAAGCCAAAGACAAGAAAAAGCTTACAAAGCAATTACTGATTACACCAAATGTAACACTCAACAGCATCCTACTTTTTAATTGGGTATGTTTTCAAGTGGCACGTATTTTAACATAATAGTTCCTTCCCTTGATACATGATGCTCCTGATACATTGCTGTGGTACTGTAAACACTATAAGAAAATGTTCTTCCTAATCATTGTAGTCAGACAGCCATGAAATCAGAATATTAAATATTGTACTGCAAGGAAAAATAACTGCTGAGTTTTCTATTTTCAGTTTTCACTTAGGCTCAAAATGGAATGATGTTCACTAAGAGGGATAGCACACACTTGCAGGAAATTTCTTACAGCAGTTGCCAACTACCATCTGCATTCAAGATAGTCAACACAAGGAATTACCTGCCTTAAAGCCAGTTGCTGGCTGGAAAAGAAATATTTGAACACAACTAGCTGCAATTTGACTCACTCCAGAATTTCCTGTTCCTAAAAATAATACAGCTGTCTGTTATATGAGTGATCCTGCTGTTACATTATGATTTCCATATTTAACCATCATTTAATATGGATAGTTAATAGTTTCTATATTCCTAAAAGCTACTTGTTGACAAATATGTGGCACAGGCAGATTTTACTTTTAATTGTATTGAGGCCAACACTGCCCTCTGAGAAACACTGAGAAATCAGCAGTGCTCACCCATGATGGGAGATGCTCTACCAGCCACCAGGCAAAGGCAAGATTGTTCCATGAGTGGCTGCATGGGAAGCAGTGTATTTTCAAATAGATGTAGGTGCACCCAAAGCAAACATGGGTGACATAGCACTTTCAGAAAACTTCTGGAGTATGGGCAAGGCTCATTCCTGCATTCCCATATTTAAGGAAATTTGAATTTCCTTCTCCAGCCCAACACTAGACATGAGCTTATTAGAATACAGGACTTTGTAAAGCCTTTCCTACCCAAAAGAATCTTCTTTCCAGGATCATCTCTGCTTTTTAACCAAATAAATAAAGGTTGACTCTTACTATGTGTCACTCTGAATGTTCAAAAAGCACACTTCCCCTGCACGTTCTGAGAGATGTTTACTTGTGTGATAGAGACTTCTGTAATCCCATATGCAGCATCCATACACAAGCTGAGTATCTACTCTGAATATCTTGCAAACTAATTTTACGTCAGTGGACAACATGAGGTGCTGAGTCTGCACCGTTCTTATTATCCAGCACGGATAAAGTATGGGTCTGGCTGAAATATTATACAGAAAACACAAGTACAGTTCAGAAGACTAGTGACAGCATGTTGCCTGTGGGAGACTCTCCAGAAAAAGACTATTCTCTCCAAATGGTTACCTGGCACAGGTTGCGATGAAATGGAAAAGGGACAAGAGAGCTACTCTTCAGGGGGTAAAACAGTGCTGCAGGGACTAACTGTGAAATTTGGCCTGTGCTATAATGACAACACAAAATCTTAATTACAATTCCATGGAAAACACTGGTGCTACAAAAATATGACCAGCAATCAAGTATCCCGACAACAGAGAACCAAGGCTAATTTCAATTATACTGGTATAATCTGAAGGAATCCTACTATAGGCAACAAAGTCACTTGGCAAATCTTAATTTGTACACACACACACCATGAAATGGTTGCAAGCATGGTCCTCTTGTAGCCTCACCCTATTGCTATCAGTAGTTTGCATCCAATGTATTATTTGACACACAGAAATGACTTTACAATTTGTATACAGTAAACTACAGGACATGTAATCTTCAGGCCTGCATTGCATTTTAATTTTTAAAAAGTCCCATATCCTATCATATTATTTCTACATACTTCTGGATCCATTCTCCCAGCAGAAATGAGCAAAGACAGACTTGAGTACAAACAAATTGACTGCAACATATCGTTGAATGCTATTACAACAGTCTGCAGATTCCCCTTGTTGATGTGCATTACTCAAGTCACTTCAAGTCCTTGGAGTAAAGGATAAAGACCTGGGGAGTGGAGGGAGGATGGATGGGAAGAAGATGAGACTTGTTCTCCGCAGACGCTCAGCTGCAAGAGCTTCCTTTCAGGTTTCCATAATTAATATAAGCACTTCACTGTACATGGGGCAAATTCATCTCTGATAGCCTCAGGAATAGGAATTGATGCAAATTAATCATGCACCTTTATTTCATTTTTTTTTTTCCAAAACTGCCTTAAACCAGCTTAGCTCTAGGCAAAGGTGACAGCAGTGAGTTTCATCACAACCAGTTGCTCTCCTCAAATGTGAGGGTTCATCCTGGCGCCAGGCACTCCACCAGTGAAGGGAGTAGGTAGAACATCTTGAAACAGGATATGAAAGGGTCAATGAAAGCTGAAAAGTTAGAAGAGATGAGAAAACTGAGAGAAAAGGAAGTGGCAGATTTTTATTTCTGTCACCTATTTTCTCTGGAATTTCTGCATATTTTGTAAGTCACCAGTCATACATTACATACAAGGAAACTGGTCCTTAAAGACAAAAGAAGTTGAAATGTAGTAAATCTTCAATTATTCCTGTTACCACCTGTTAGTGTTAGCAGCCTGAGCCTTGTGTCTGTTTCTTCTTTGTTACTTTACATAATGTTACAATAAAGATTCCTCTGAATTTCAGATTTGATCTCAGGGTTTCAGAATCAGTATTTACAAAAAAAAAAAAAAAGAATCCTCCTTTTATATATCCTCCTTTTATATTTACAAATACTGTAGTTATTGCTTTGAAAGAACACATGTTCTTTAAATAAATTCTTTATTAAAGCGTACCACTTTGTCCCACTAGTAACTTACTGAAAACAATTCAGAGGCACAAAGCACAGTTTCAGATGGACTCTCTAATCAGAATTCATCCAGCAGGCACCGCAGTTACAGGCTTTTTATAACACATTCTGTCAAGAGCAGCACATGCCATTATACTTAGCCCACTGGAGATTCAAACAGTTCTGGATCATCAGTATTTGTGCAAAAACCAAAGGAATGTATTCAGCTAAAAAATGCTCTTCAACACAACGTGTTCGTGTACAAATCCAGAACTTATTTTTCTGAGAAAAATTAAGGACAATTTTTTCCACTATCATTATAATTTTTTTTTCTCCAATTAACATGTAAACACATAACTACAAGGTCTGATTTTCAAAAGTGCTTAAATCAATGGAGGCCTAGTGCTTTTGAAAAACAGACTAGTTTTTAAAGAACCTCCCTCTGTTGGGAGGAGGGGTGGCTGACTCATTTATAGTTATGAGCTCTTAAGTTATTCTGAATCAATGTCTTTGAAGTTTAACCAAAGAAACAGCAACAGGAAAGGGTAAGGATATAATTTCTATTTCTGATGCTTCTTTTAAGGGAAAAAAGTCTCAGGCAAAGAATATATAATATGTAGATGCCATCATCACATGAAGTGCTCTGAAATTCAGCAAATGCTCTTATAGCAACATTTCTAACTTGCCTTCGTCATAAATGTTAAAAGAGAAGCCTTATCTGATTTAGCTTAGGCCGATTTCTCAGAAGATGGAAACCAGAGGTAAACTGACAAAAAAAGAGTCAAGAAAGGTAAGAATAAAGAGAAGAAAAACACTTCCTATAGAAGCAGTAACTATTAAGGTCATGTTTCACATGGTTCTCAAGCACTGGTTTCTTGTGATTCCCCTTCCTTTCTTGAATATCAATACTGAAAACAAAAATCAAAAAGTAAGAAAGGCAATAAATATGCCAAATTGCAGATTTATAGAACCTTATCTAGCCTTAGCTGGAAGGTTTACTGTGTGCTTTAATTACATTCAGGATTTTACAAACATTAGTTATCATAACCTCTCTCTGAAGATAATAATCTTATTATCTTCATTTTTCTGTATTTGGAAGCTGAGGCAGAGGATTAAATGAAGTATAAGTAATGTGAAGTACAGGTGTTTACCAAATCCAGCTTCAGCTGTCCAACATTAAGTATCCACATCGGAAAATGTCAACATCATCAACTCATCAAAAATTAGAAGAGGACTTCAGAGCCTAGTTAGAGTTGGTATCAGTGCCTTTATCCATTCCATTATGCCAGCTCTCCTGCTGCTGGGATATCCTTCCTGATGGTCTGAAGTCCTGCTGACTTGTTCCTCAGTAGAAGAGCTGGCTCAGCTAAAGTAGGCTGCTTGGCAGAGTACTTGCAATGGCTGAAGTCTAAATCAATCACAGGTTGAGTAATGGAGATGGTCAGAAAATTCAGATGCAAAGGTTCCTCATCAGCATTTACCAATTAGTCGAAATCAGAAATTTCCACAGAGGCAATTCGATTTTGAATGGGTTCCTTTGGACTGCTGCCTGCCAGTCAGTTTTCAAAACCTCTCTGCTTTCTTTCAAATGTCCCTTCTCAGCTGCCTGCATTCAGAGGTACACAGGGTTCCAGTGTCTGCAACGTGGGGTAGCTAGACATGCAAGGTTAGGCACACTTGAGAGCTCTTCCTTTCCTGGAGAAATCAGAGCAGAATTACCTTTCTTGAAATAAATTTTCTGAATATTTCTCAAATTTGAGAATGATCTGTGTTTTGCTCATTCCTCCTCTCCTCTCACCAGAATAA